GGTCTTTCTTCCAGCAAGAGGCCCCTGAAGTCCCGACTCCACAACAAGGGAAGGATTATGCATTGAAAACAAGACTGTTCCTTCCTATCTCTGCACAAACACAACTCATAGCAATGCATAGGAAATATAAACCCACTGGCCTCTGACAAGGATATCATCTAGCTTAGTGTTTTCCACAAAGACCATGGCATGCAGTCAGCCTCTACCAGATGTACACGTTCCCTTTTTCCCCGACCTGACGCATTAACAGCTTCATCATATGCCCAGTAAAATAAAGTGGCACAGGTCCTCAGACAGGATGACAGACATCAAACTAAAAACCAGAGTCTTCACTCGGTTTGTCCGGGTAGAGGAAAGCTGACAACTCTTTAAGTTCAGAGCCAATTCCCTGCTTTGCCTCAGACAGGATCGCTTCTATATCCAAACCATCCTATGCAAATCCATAATCTAACCTCTGCTGCAAAGATTGAGCCTCTCTGCTCAAGAAAACACAGGGAGGTTGGTTTCTCAGATAGCTAAAAAAGAAAAAAGTGTCATTCAGCAAAGCAGAACTTCACACAAGTTGCAGAGCAAAATGTCCACAATTGAGCTGAAGCCACGATACAGAAAGCCTCCCAGTGCAGAAAAAAAAGAAATAGAAAGGGAAATAATACACAAATTAGTCTCTCATGATGACGACTTACTCTCTCATGATGTCCTCATGGTAAAATTGGGAAAATGAGGCCTTGACTACTTTATGGTCCGCTGGCTAGGCAACTGGCTCTGAGGTAGGACCCAGAAAGTACTTGTGGCGAGCCAGTAGGGGGCGCTCCTGCGTTGAGCCACCCACCTCACTGCTCCAGACCACCCTCCCGGCTCCGAGTGCCTCCCTGGGGCGCCTCACATCCGGCTGACCCACTTCCTGAAGCACACTCGCTAGCCTGGGGGTAACATAGTTGCCCCCACCCCAAGAGGGGACTGTCTCGGCCCAGTGCCCTCGGGGAAACACAGGCCTAATAGTCCTACGGGTACTCGACCCAATACAGGCACTTGGGGTACTTCCCCAAGTTGGGGGCCAAAAAGGAAAGTCTCCCTCAGTCCGCAGACCTAAGGGGTCTCTTAGGCATAATTTAGACCCACCCCTCAATAAGTCTCCCACACCGGTCACAAAGGAGAACTGTACTGATTACAGGGGTAGGGTGAAAATAGGGTACAAGATAGAGCAATATCATAGAAATCCCATAGAGCAAAACAGTCTGGCTGAGGCAGCCTTTTGATCCCGCATCTGAGTTACTGCCAGCTAGATATCTAACCAGATCTCGAGTAGCTTACTCACAAGCATCATCCCGAGGCTGTTGGAGATCCCCTCTGGAGGCAGGCTGCCCCCCGCTCGCGAGTTATGGGGGAGAGAGCCAGTTTCAGATGGTAAAACTCCTCTCCATGCCCGAGTCCCCCACATGGCTGCTGCCCCCTCCTCCTGGGCAGTCTTAACTTATATAGCCCCTGTGACCTCGTTCACCTGGTCCAATGGAGGCCAGCACCTGTTGGCTGCTGGCCAATCAATTTGAAATACATGACTAGTTGCCGGGCAGACTCTAGCCCCCCAGGTAGAAGCCCCTCACCCAGGTAGGTGATACCAGTCCTGTGGGCAGAGGGAGCAGGTTTCCCCTCCCTCAGGACTGTAGCCAGCTCAGGTTACCTAAAGAGATAGGGTGAAGGTGCATCTCCTCTGCTGGGCCCATCCTGATCACATTGTCACTGAGCAGAGATTTTGGGGAGAAACAAAGGTGGCTTCCTGCCACAGTATTAATAGAGGGAACTGAGTCGACATGGTGGAAGGTGACCGGTGGCATACTCAGACCAGTGCTTTTCAACACATTCATCGATGATTTGGATACAGGTATTAAAAGCATATGGGCAAAGTTTGCAGATGACACCAAATTAGGGGGGAGTGCGGCCGTGCTCAAGGACAGGCTGGAGATACAGGCTGACCTGGACAGGCTTGCAAGGTGGGCAGATCATAACCTGATGACATTTAACATGGAGAAATGTCAAGTCTGGGGAGAAATCAACCCGCAATGCTTGCAGGCTCGGCAGTGCCTCATTTGCCAGCGCTACAACTGAATGAGACCTGGGGGTCATGATAGACCACAGGATGAACATGAGCCACCAATGCAATGCCATAGCTGGCAGAGCTAACCAAATGCTGGCATGCATCTACTGAGGCATCTCAAACAAGGCTAAGGATGTCATCCTCCTGCTTCACTTGGCCTTGGTGAGACCGCAGCTGGAGCGCTGCGTCCAGCTTTAGGCGCTGCACTTCAGGAAGGATGTGGAGGAGCTCAAGAGAGTCCAAAGGACAGCCACACGCACGGTCATACGAGGAGAGGCTACAAGACTTGGGACTATTCAACCTCGAGAAGAGAAGACTCAGAGGGGACTTGGTGGCAGCCTATAAGTATATCAGGGGATGTACATCAGGGCCTGGGGGAACATCTGTTCACCAAGCCCCCCCCAGGAGAAGACAAGAAACAATGGGCACAAGCTGGTTGAAGATCACTTCCTACTGGACATAATGAAAAACTTCTTTACAAGTCGAGTGCCAAGGGTCTAGGACAGGCTTCCTCAGAGGTGGTACAGACACACACCCTGGAGATCTTTAAAAAACATCTGGATGCCCACCTTGCTGGCTCATTTGACCCCAGCAGTCTTTCCTGCCCAAGCGCAGAGGGGCTGGACCTGATGATTTTGTGAGGTCCCTTCCAGCCCCTAACATCTATGAATCAAAGCCCATGGGACAGTTAATTACAAGCTTGGATATATTAAAGAAAGACTTCAGCATAATAGGAAGAGGGCCGGTTTCTACCCCATCAAGAAGCATTCAGAGAATCCTAGAGAAGTGAGGCTGGGAGGGACCTCAAAAGGTCACAACTAGTCCAACCCCCTGCCTCAGACAGGATCACTCCTATATCCAAACCATCCTATGCAAATCCATAATCTAACCTCTGCTGCAAAGATTGAGCCTCTCTGCCCAAGAAAACACAGGGAGAGGGCCAATCCCTTCCTTACTGCAGAAGGCAACCCTCCCCATAGTCCCACATAATTTGTCCAGTGGGTAAAAATTTCTTCCTGACCCTAAATAGGGTGATTGGTGTGACCCTGAGCCAAGGGGCAAGACCCTCTAGCTGGGAACCTCCAGTTTTAAGTCCCAGTAGGAGCAGTGGCACAGCCCAGTCAAAATCCCCAGCCTGGTTTGCAGACAACACCCAATGCCTACAAGAGAGTCTCAAAAACACCCAGCCACATGTAAAGCCTTCTAATACTCCCCTATAAAATGATAGCTTTGGTATGCCTGTACTAGACTCAGTCTACTCCCAACAGATCTCCTAGTACTTGTGCCAGCCACGAGAGCCCTAGTGTAGACGAGGCACCGGCAGCCTCTTCCCCCTACAGTGCTGCAGAGATGTTGGTGGTGAAGCTACGTTCAGCTTCCCCTAGGCTCTAAGCTAATTTGAGTCCCTTTTAAAACACCCCTCTGTCTGATCCTACCACCACCATCAGCCCCATACACTCTGCTGTAGAAGTGCTTTGGAGACCCACGACACCAAGAGGTTTAACCCCGTTCCCTTGCCCTCTGTGAAAGCAGCCCCTACTTACTTCAAGGCACTCTCCAGTCCTGAGAATGGATTCTGGGCCATGACAGAGTCCACCTCCACCTGAAAGAGATTGCATTACCTTTGGCACCATGAAACATCTGTTTCCTGAGATACAACCCCCATCTGAATGGCCCCGATATCCCCCTGCAACAGAGACACAGCTCATCTAATACCCTGCCCCATGCCCAGGATCTCCCACTTGCTCTCCTGGGCCAATTTCCTCAGAAATGGGGGACCCTCGAGTCCATATTCTGGAACTTAAATAGGTGCCTCTGAAAACAAGAGCATATAAGTGAAGGCTGTTAACCCATCTGTGTAAGGAACCTAGATTATAATGGCTAAGAAACAATTTGGAAGCACGGAAATTGCAGGCCAAATGCAGCGAATTTACAATCTAACCCTGGTCTCAGTCTGCCCCCCTGCATCACATCCAGCAAGGGTGGCAGAAGGGGACATTAGTCTCACAGCAATAAGATCAGGCAGCTACCAACCTAGGACATGATAAGGTAACAGCTCCACCAGTTACTCCATCAGGAGAATTTTTACCATCTTTTCTCTGATGCCTGATGAAGTGTGTTTGGGACCGAAAGCTTGCAGTTAAAGAATTTTTTTTGCATAAAATCTCGTTGGTCTAATAAAAGATGTCATCTCTACTATGAGTCCCTGGATTGCTTTTTCCTCTAGACCAATAC